AGAGTAATTCACCTGGTAATACACAGCTTTGTACTGAGTGTTTGTGTCTGCGCGTCGGTGTCTGTGTGTGATGGAGGGAATTCAAGAGCCATGAGAGCCACTGCTGAGGTGATAGTGCGTAAGATGAGAGAGCCTGAAGAAGGTGTTAGTTGTTTGTTGACTTGATTCTGACTTAACTCACCTTTTATTCCCACATATTGCTTTTCTCCTTCGATCACTCTACATTTCCCTCCACATACTGTCCCTGTCCTATCACTATCACTTCTCCCCGAGGAGGCACCGTGTGTGTGTGTGTGTGTGGTAGAAGAAAGAGAAAAGAAAGAACACTCAGGCAGCTAGATAGAGGGGGAAAAAATCTGTCTTTTTGTGGTGTGCTTTGTTGTTCCAGGCTTTTACACGTCAAGTCCAACTTTATTCTTTTGAATAAGACAGTCTGGCACTGGTCCCTTCTGAAAGCCCTTTCACTGCTTTATATTTCTTGCATTCCTCTCACATTGTGATGCATCTCCTGCATTCACAGTCGATGCCCATAAATTTGTCTCTGAGGCATTTCAGGCTGGATTTACAAAATGTCAGGAACGCACAACCTGGTGACATACTAAGACTCAACTCAGCAATCACAAAGATCTGGAAAGTTGTAGGAAAAGGAAGATTCCTTAGATATGTCTTTAAATCTAGTAAAGCTGAAATGAGTCAAATTAGTAATTGGGATGCGTTGTGATTGAGAGTTTTAAAAATATTATTATTTTTTATCCTTCATATTTTATTCTTAGTAGTAATTAGAGAGTTAACAAAACCATTTTTTACAAACCGGTACCATATTTTTAATTCTCTGCTCCCGATACTGAGTTCTAATTAGGTACTCCTTTAGGTTCAGCTTTATTAAATAAACCTTGAAGACAAAAAAACAGGCTAACAAGAGTAGCACACTCATGCAGACCTGCAAATTAGTGACACGCAGTGTGCAAACCAAACAGAAGACAAAATGTCTTGAACTGACACTGGTGTCAATAGACATTAGACAATACACCAGTGAAACTAAAGATTAAACAATAAAAACAGATATGTACAGTAAATAATATGTTTTTTGTAATGTGTATATAGATAATTACACTTTCTGCATCGTTAGCACACTCAACTAAACAGGAAGTGAGCAGAGCTTTTTCACCAGTTATATATATCATATAGAACCAAACACTGGCTCCTACTATCCGGTAAACAAAGTGTCACTTAAATAGTGTTATCACTATTTCCAATTTTTGATTAAAAATTTGTTGAATTTTAGAAATATCAAAAATCAGTTGGGAGCAGAAGTTTGTGCACACTGCAAAAAGGCTGGTAATTTGCAGTAACTCGATGTCTTTCGGTCTTTAGTCTAAAATGAGCTAAATCGGAGCTGAGATGGAAAAAAAAAACCCAAAAAAAGCTGCTCTGAAAAAGTCAATGCCAGATAAAAATCTCACCACTGTCACCTCTGTTTCTCGGTGGGATACCACATAATTGGGCTGTTTCTTCAGTAATTGCTACACTCCTCTCACTTTTAGCTGACTGTTCCACCTGTTTCTTCTCTCCTTTGTCTGCCTCAGTTTTCTTTATGGAAAATTTACTAAAAAAAAAAAAAAAAAAACTTCTTCGCCTTTCAACTTCAGATGCATTGCACACCTCGGGGGAGCATAGGCTAAATACCTGCAGTAAAATGTGGAATTGCCAATAATATAGTGATTTCATTTATGTATAGATTATAGATAAAAATAGTAAAGCTGATTGTTTTATATATTTACATTTTTTAAACCCACGACTGAGGTTGTCTAAATGATCTTCAGACTTATGGAAATGAACTGCTTGTATAATTGTGTAATATTCCTGAAAAAAAAGTATTACAAGAACTGACTTTCCTGTTTGGTTTTTGATACTGGACTTCAAAATTTGCTTTGCCATTTATAGATAGTACTGTTGTCAAGCCCCCCGGTCCCCATGTCAACATATTCACAGATGATTTAAAACGGTGATTCTTATTTAACTTATTGCAGTTCTCCTGCTGTGGCACAATGAAGGAAATATTAAAATAAAACAAAAAAACATTGTCCATTACAATACTGCTGCAACCTCTTAGGGACGTGCCCCACACTTTTGGAACCATTCAATGTTAATCTCTGTTCCACAGTAATTAAAAGCTTTTATAGAATGGATAGTGTGTATGGATTTTTAAAAGAAATCATGTTACCAAGTCGACATATGGTTAGTGAATAATAATGGTCCCCTAATGTCTTTATGTCCTCATCGTCATCATAGCTACTGTAATGCATATATTTACTGACACTTTTTAAAATCTTTTTCTCTCCTCTTCACAATCTCCATCTGTCCTCAACCTTAAGGCAAGGGACTGTGCAAACGTAGTAGGTCTGGTTATGTGTAATTAAAGCTAAGCTTTTTTTTTTTTATGTTTGATCTGTGAGTTAAAAAGCACGTTTTACCACTGCTTTTTTGATTGAATTAGAAACACCAGGAGTTTAGAATTACAAAATATCATAAATGACATTAAACTCTACTTTAATTATTGTTTTTCTATGCTGTTTGTTCCATTCACTGTGATAGAGACACCATAGTTTTAAAAGTGTTAGTAAAGGAATGGATTGAAAGAGGTTCTCCGCAGCTATATCGGCAGAATGGAAATGCCCCGTTTGCTTTTCTCTTGCCTCCAAAGGCCAATGAACAGGGCAGTTTCAATTATACTACGGATGCTCCAGACGTCTCTGTGCAAACATACATCTGTTTATTACTTGTAGCCTCTTGATCTTTCGCAGCACCTTCTGTCTGAAGCGATCACCCAGGCGACCACTCCGTGAACATATGAATGTTTGCTTTTTATGTAAACATAAAAAGTCACTGACACTCAATTGATTCTGTAGGACAGGTTTTTTTTTTTTAGTGCTGGTGCATTTAAGTGACATATCTCTGTCAGACCATTTTTACACAGTAATACTTGACCTTTTGCAGGCAGGGAGCATATTCAGAATTGATTGCTGCCTTGTTGACAGTCACTGTGGAGAAATAGCCTCTCATTTGCACTGGGCCAGGGGTTTCTGCCAATGGTGACTATTTTCCCAATGTTTACTCTGGCGGCTCCTGCGCTGCTTGGAATTCATATGATTTTTTTTTAACCTGGCAAAAATATTCATCTGTGTGTTTTGTGTGCCTGAAATGTTTATGCAAGATATTAACAGTTGGATTTTTATTTTATTTTATTTTTTTCAGCAACCTTTCTTGGTATTTCACAAAACACTGTGATTAAAGTGTCTTGAAAATGTACTTATATATAGAGAAGGAAATTAGTGACTATTAAGATAATACATTGAACTGACAGAAAATCTGCTTAGTATGAGTAATAACAGGGTAAACATGTTTCAAAATGTGTCTAACTGCTGAACAGAATGCACTCAAATACAGGTCTTAAGAGTGGCATGAAAACTGAGCTTCATTACTATCATAGAGGCAAGTACAAGTGGACCAAGACCAGGTGTAGACAACCAGGAAAGATACAAAATGGTTGGGGCTCAAACTCAGTCAACAGCGAGGCATCAAAAAGATGACAACCAGTGGAAATTAAACGCTGGTTTTAACTCTGAAGGAAGACATACGAGCTGGTGGAGAGTGAACTGAGTTACTGCAAACTTTTTTAAAACGCTGTAATTCCTCTGTTCCCCACATTAGGACCACTGTGATATCAGATAGCAGAGTATATACGTGTTAAAAATGTAGTCTTGTTTATTTATATGAAGTTGGGTTGAGTTCATGAGAAGTTCTTCTAAAGATGAAGAGTTGATTTGGGAGTTAAGTCACGGTGAGAGTAGGTGAGTTTTCAGAGTCTGTATACCAAAATGACATGCATCTCAGGACAGGTGATATTTTTACACTCTCAGCTCAGACTTTGGAACTCCTGAAACATCTGAGTCTGAACTTCAGCTCAGCAACACGCCAAGCTATGTCTAAAATTGTAATTTAAGATCATTTAGAAATGAGCCTGGCATCACATTAGAACAGATTAAAATGCCTGAACGACATTTGTTGACTACACATTCAAATTCAAGTTCACCCGGTTCCCCTGCCTGACTTTATGGCTTTGCCTAGCCTCCTGTTTCATGAATAAAAGTGCTGCTATTGAATCACTTTCAGCGGGACTCTTTGTTGCAGCTGTCAGACCGGTTTGTGAACTCAAGTGTTTTCTATATCTCAACATCCTTGCGTCAGCAAGACCAGTCCAACCGACATATAATAAAAAAAAAAGCAGCAAAATGAAAATAACTAAGTCCAACCAAGTCTTTACAGCACTCTTTGCCTCCCACATGTCCTATTTGTATTCAGCTGTCTTTGTATTAATGGAAAAAAAGCCTTTGAATTTACATATATAGCTCTGCCAGGGCCGATTGCTGGGTTGAAAGAGGAACAAGCTCATTTGTTTGTTAGAAATTGCTGTGGTAGATACCATGGCAGCTCGTGTCAACTCCCGTCAGGTTTATTTATTTATCTTTATTCTTTACAATATAGTATTCAATTTTGTGTATTCATAAAAAAATTCTGGCTTTTGTTTATGAAAATTGACATGGCTCTCGGCCGGTTGTTTTTATTAAATATAAGACGCCTGTAAGCAATAGCATTTTCCTGACAAGGTCTTCTCTAAAGAGGCTGCCAGGAGACAGAGCCGTCTTCCTGTAAGGACCTCATCTAATGTTTTATACACGAGCTGGATGTTTCCTGTGCTTTTTGTTTTTTATGGCATTAAATTGATTTCAGAAGATTTCTTTCTATTATTTGAACTTCTCTTAAAACATGTGTAAATACAGGAAGTGGATTTTCAGACCTTTTGTACCAGGAAAATTTTCTAGCAGTTGCAAACAGTGTAAAAGAAGAGATAGAATATTAAAAAACAAAATCAGACAAACTTCCACTTACATTCTTGACCAGTAGAGGTTTCCAGATTGATGATGTTTATGTCTCCTCAGGCCCTTTATTTCCATACATCTCTGCGGTTGCCTTGCAATGTGGTGGTCGTGGAGCTGGTGTCGCTAACGTCAAGACCAGATGGATCTCAGCAGGCTCTGGGCTTAGGGTTCACCATACTGGAGCTTTTTTCAAATAAGACAGAAGCCCAGGGAGCAAATGGAGACAGAAGGTGATTAGTCCACTCTTAATTACAGCAGTCAGGAACTAATGGCATTTTATACAAAGGCATGATTGTAGACAGGTGTAACTAGTCCATTAATATATTCATGGTGATCTGAATTAATCTTTTAGGCTGAATCTGCACCTTGGGTCACCGAGAGTCCTTCTACATCCACTGCTGAAGGACACAGTTGACTGTAAGGTTACTCTTTTATATTCTTTCCTTTTAAATTATAATTTCTTCATTTAAATCTTAACCTCAACCACAGTATGTGTTTTCAGATGGTGGAAACTATCATCAGGGAGAACATGCAAACTTTACTTAAGTTGAACTGCCATTCAAACTCTTGACCTACATGTCTGTGCGGTGACAGTGCTAACCGCTGTTAAACCATGTGGACCTTTTTAGAACAAAAGATTCTAAATTATTTATTTTGCAATTCTTGTGGAATAGTCTGGATCTGTTCTGGTTTGGCTCAAACCAAGACTATAAATTACAAAACAGTATCGTGCCTCACAAAGTGGATCTCAGTGAGGGCAGAAGTTTCTGTCTAGGCTATCATGTCACATGAATATTAGAGAATCTTCTCTCAAATGGACTCTTATGTTCGCTGAATTATTAACTGTGTGCCCGCTTTGTGGAAACATTGCTTTTCCGTTTGAAAGCCCATACATCTGTCTCTCTGGCTGTTTCTCTCCTAGAGACAAACCTCCCTTTTTAACTTGTTCTCATTCACCATGACAGAGACACAGCTTTTGTATCTGCAGCTTGATGTGGAAGAATGGAAAAGTGAATTCAGCTAGGATCCTGGGCCCATTTGGGCCATCTTAATAAACAGAACAGAACAAAACAACTATTCAATTCTTTTTAGTTGTAGCAAAAAATAATGAATTGATTGTATTCATTTGATAAGTAAGTGCTAATAGGGATAAAGTATTCCATATATATATATAAATATATGTATATATATATATGGACTTGCATATATATATGGACTTGCAGGTATTGAAGCAAGACCTACTGTAAGATTTCCTTCAACAACTCCAGTTGCTTAAAGTTTAATGCGTTTTAATCCTTATTGAAGATATTTAGATTTTCTTTAGGAGTTATTGTGATAGTAAAATATAGAAATGATTATTTTGGACATGAATTAAGAAAGGCAAAAGAGATGTGTTGTGTGGAAGTTAAAAAAGAAAGGGAGTATGTTGTTCAAAGAATGTTGTACATGGAGCTGCATGAAAAATGAAAGAAAAAGTTATTTTAACATAAGAGTACTTAAATGACAGTGAGATGGAGGCTGATGATCAGCTGTAGTTTCAATGTTAAACTATATCTGAAAGTGCACACACTGCATTTATGGGAAGATTCATTAGTAATGCCATTAATAATCAGGACAGCTGGAATGTGTTTGTATTATATTTTTAAAAGAACACATGGCTCCACATTAGGTCAGACTTTCCTGAAATGAAGAACAACTTTTGCTCTGTGCAAACACAGATTACAAAAAGCCCTCTCTGAAAAACCCATCATCTCATCCATGTTACTTCTTGTTACAATCTTTTTTTTTTTTTGAGCCTCGATCAACTGCTCTTGTTTGTCTGATGTTGAGCTATTTTTTTGTTTCCTTCTCCCCATATTACCTTGCTTTCCGTGCTTCATCTCCTGCCAACTCACATCGAGAAACCGTACCAATGCTGAAAGGGAAATCTTTGGAGCTATTTTTTTCTAATCTATGCACAGCATCTGATGGAAACCCAGGCTTGATGCATAATGAATAACAAGAAATAAATGATGAAAAAGTTGCACACACCTGGGCACCATCTGTGTCAAGAAAGTTGTGTTTGATTTTTTTCCCTTCTCTTTTCTTTTACCTTTATATCCATCCCACTTTTATTTGAGGGAAAAGCACTGTCACCTCAGAAAGTGTTTGTATAGAACAGAGTAAAAGCCGTGTTGA